GTACCGTCCCATACTGACAGTACCGTCCCATGCTGACAGTACCGTTCCATACTGACAGTACCGTCCCATACTGACAGTACCGTCCCATACTGACAGTACCGTCCCATGCTGACAGTACCGTCCCATACTGACAGTACCGTCCCATACTGACAGTACCGTCCCATACTGACAGTACCGTCCCATACTGACAGTACCGTCCCATACTGACAGTACCGTCCCATGCTGACAGTACCGTTCCATACTGACAGTACCGTCCCATACTGACAGTACCGTCCCATACTGACAGTACCGTCCCATACTGACAGTACCGTCCCATACTGACAGTACCGTCACAGGCTGACAGTACCGTTCCATACTGACAGTACCGTCCCATACTGACAGTACCGTCTCATACTGACAGTACCGTCACATGATGACAGTACCGCCCCATACTGACAGTACCGTCCCATGCTGACAGTACCGTCCCATACTGACAGTACCGTCCCATACTGACAGTACCGTCACAGGCTGACAGTACCGTTCCATACTGACAGTACCGTCACAGGCTGACAGTACCGTTCCATACTGACAGTACTGTCCCATACTGACAGTACCGTCTCATACTGACAGTACCGTCTCATACTGACAGTACCGTCCCATGCTGACAGTAACGTCCCATACTGACAGTACCGTCCCATACTGACAGTACCGTCCCATACTGACAGTACCGTTCCATACTGACAGTACCGTCCCATACTGACAGTACCGTCCCATGCTGACAGTACCGTCTCATACTGACAGTACCGTCCCATGCTGACAGTAACGTCCCATACTGACAGTACCGTCCCATACTGACAGTACCGTCCCATACTGACAGTACCGTCACAGGCTGACAGTACCGTTCCATACTGACAGTACCGTCCCATACTGACAGTACCGTCTCATACTGACAGTATCGTCTCATACTGACAGTTCCGTCACAGGCTGACAGTACCGTTCCATACTGACAGTACCGTCCCATACTGACAGTACCGTCACAGGCTGACAGTACCGTTCCATACTGACAGTACCGTTACAGGCTGACAGTACCGTTCCATACTGACAGTACCGTCCCATACTGACAGTAACGTCCCATACTGACAGTACCGTCCCATACTGACAGTACCGTCCCATACTGACAGTACCGTTCCATACTGACAGTACCATTCCATACTGACAGTACCGTCCCATACTGACAGTACCGTCTCATACCGACAGTACCGTCCCATACTGACAGTACCGTCTCATACTGACAGTACCGTCCCATACTGACAGTACCGTCCCATACTGACAGTACCGTCCCATACTGACAGTACCGTCACAGGCTGACAGTACCGTTCCATACTGACAGTACCGTCACAAGCTGACAGTACCGTCTCATACTGACAGTACCGTCCCATACTGACAGTACCGTCCCATGCTGACAGTACCGTCCCATACTGACAGTACCGTCCCATACTGACAGTACCGTCCCATACTGACAGTACCGTCCCATGCTGACAGTACCGTTCCATACTGACAGTACCGTCCCATACTGACAGTACCGTCCCATACTGACAGTACCGTCCCATGCTGACAGTACCGTCCCATACTGACAGTACCGTCCCATGCTGACAGTACCGTCCCATACTGACAGTACCGTCCCATACTGACAGTACCGTCCCATACTGACAGTACCGTCCCATACTGACAGTACCGTCTCATACTGACAGTACTGTCACAGGCTGACAGTACCGTCCCATACTGACAGTACCGTCCCATACTGACAGTACCGTCCCATGCTGACAGTACCGTCCCATACTGACAGTACCGTCCCATACTGACAGTACCGTCCCATACTGACAGTACCGTTCCATACTGACAGTACCGTCCCATACTGACAGTACCGTCCCATGCTGACAGTACCGTCTCATACTGACAGTACCGTCCCATGCTGACAGTAACGTCCCATACTGACAGTACCGTCCCATACTGACAGTACCGTCCCATACTGACAGTACCGTCACAGGCTGACAGTACCGTTCCATACTGACAGTACCGTCCCATACTGACAGTACCGTCTCATACTGACAGTATCGTCTCATACTGACAGTTCCGTCACAGGCTGACAGTACCGTTCCATACTGACAGTACCGTCCCATACTGACAGTACCGTCACAGGCTGACAGTACCGTTCCATACTGACAGTACCGTTACAGGCTGACAGTACCGTTCCATACTGACAGTACCGTCCCATACTGACAGTAACGTCCCATACTGACAGTACCGTCCCATACTGACAGTACCGTCCCATACTGACAGTACCGTTCCATACTGACAGTACCATTCCATACTGACAGTACCGTCCCATACTGACAGTACCGTCTCATACCGACAGTACCGTCCCATACTGACAGTACCGTCTCATACTGACAGTACCGTCCCATACTGACAGTACCGTCCCATACTGACAGTACCGTCCCATACTGACAGTACCGTCACAGGCTGACAGTACCGTTCCATACTGACAGTACCGTCACAAGCTGACAGTACCGTCTCATACTGACAGTACCGTCCCATACTGACAGTACCGTCCCATGCTGACAGTACCGTCCCATACTGACAGTACCGTCCCATACTGACAGTACCGTCCCATACTGACAGTACCGTCCCATGCTGACAGTACCGTTCCATACTGACAGTACCGTCCCATACTGACAGTACCGTCCCATACTGACAGTACCGTCCCATGCTGACAGTACCGTCCCATACTGACAGTACCGTCCCATGCTGACAGTACCGTCCCATACTGACAGTACCGTCCCATACTGACAGTACCGTCCCATACTGACAGTACCGTCCCATACTGACAGTACCGTCTCATACTGACAGTACTGTCACAGGCTGACAGTACCGTCCCATACTGACAGTACCGTCCCATACTGACAGTACCGTCCCATACTGACAGTACCGTTCCATACTGACAGTACCGTCCCATACTGACAGTACCGTCTCATACTGACAGTACCGTCCCATACTGAGAGTACCGTCCCATGCTGACAGTACCGTCCCATACTGACAGTACCGTCCCATACTGACAGTACCGTCCCATACTGACAGTACCGTCACAGGCTGACAGTACCGTTCCATACTGACAGTACCGTCCCATACTGACAGTACCGTCTCATACTGACAGTATCGTCTCATACTGACAGTACCGTCACAGGCTGACAGTACCGTTCCATACTGACAGTACCGTCCCATACTGACAGTACCGTCACAGGCTGACAGTACCGTTCCATACTGACAGTACCGTCACAAGCTGACAGTACCGTCTCATACTGACAGTACCGTCCCATACTGACAGTACCGTCCCATGCTGACAGTACCGTCCCATACTGACAGTACCGTCCCATACTGACAGTACCGTCCCATACTGACAGTACCGTCCCATGCTGACAGTACCGTTCCATACTGACAGTACCGTCCCATACTGACAGTACCGTCCCATACTGACAGTACCGTCCCATGCTGACAGTACCGTCCCATACTGACAGTACCGTCCCATGCTGACAGTACCGTCCCATACTGACAGTACCGTCCCATACTGACAGTACCGTCCCATACTGACAGTACCGTCCCATACTGACAGTACCGTCTCATACTGACAGTACTGTCACAGGCTGACAGTACCGTCCCATACTGACAGTACCGTCCCATACTGACAGTACCGTCCCATACTGACAGTACCGTCCCATACTGACAGTACCGTCCCATACTGACAGTACCGTCTCATACTGACAGTACCGTCCCATACTGAGAGTACCGTCCCATGCTGACAGTACCGTCCCATACTGACAGTACCGTCCCATACTGACAGTACCGTCCCATACTGACAGTACCGTCACAGGCTGACAGTACCGTTCCATACTGACAGTACCGTCCCATACTGACAGTACCGTCTCATACTGACAGTATCGTCTCATACTGACAGTACCGTCACAGGCTGACAGTACCGTTCCATACTGACAGTACCGTCCCATACTGACAGTACCGTCACAGGCTGACAGTACCGTTCCATACTGACAGTACCGTCACAGGCTGACAGTACCGTTCCATACTGACAGTACCGTCCCATACTGACAGTACCGTCTCATACTGACAGTACCGTCACATGGTGACAGTACCGTCCCATACTGACAGTACCGTCCCATGCTGACAGTACCGTCCCATACTGACAGTACCGTCTCATACTGACAGTACCGTCCCATACTGACAGTACCGTCTCATACTGACAGTACCGTCCCATACTGACAGTACCGTCCCATACTGACAGTACCGTCCCATGCTGACAGTACCGTTCCATGCTGAGAGTGCAACACTGAGAGTGCAACACTGAGAGTGCAACACTGAGAGTGCAACACTGAGAGTGGCGGTCCTTGAGTGATACACCAACATTCACTGCAATAATCAAGCTTTATAACTGGCAAAGTCTTCCTCGTGGTCCTCTCACAACTCACAATTACGACTCCAAGTTGAGGTCTCTCGTGAGGAAAGAAGTTTATTATCAGTAACTTCAAGAACTTCCCCACTCATATTTTTAACCACAAAGTCATTCTCAGAGCTCTGAGATTTTCTCCAATTTATCAAAAAACCTTTTCATATTTTTTTGTATGAAATTGGTCGTCTGAATTGCAAGGTTTTGGACTTAGTATTTTCATATAGATCCTCATCCACACCTCACTACTCTAGGAGATCCTCATCCACACCTCACTGCTCTTGGAGGTTCTCATCCACTCCTCACTGCTCTTGGAGGTTCTCATCCACTCCTCAGTGCTCTAGAAGGTCCTCATCCACTCCTCACTACTCTTGGAGGTCCTCATCCACTCTTCACTACTCTTGGAAGTCCTCATCCACTCCTCACTACTCTTGGAGGTCCTCATCCACTCTTCACTACTCTTGGAGGTCCTCATCCACTCCTCACTACTCTTGGAGGTCTTCATCTACTCCTCACTACTCTTGGAGGTCCTCATCCACTCTTCACTACTCTTGGAGGTCCTCATCCACTCTTCACTACTCTTGGAGGTCCTCATCCACTCTTCACTGCTCTTGGAGGTCCTCATCCACTCTTCACTGCTCTTGGAGGTCCTCATCCACTCTTCACTACTCTTGGAGGTCCTCATCCACTCTTCACTACTCTTGGAGGTCCTCATCCACTCTTCACTGCTCTTGGAGGTCCTCATCCACTCTTCACTGCTCTTGGAGGTCCTCATCCACTCTTCATTACTCTTGGAGGTCCTCATCCACTCTTCACTGCTCTTGGAGGTCCTCATCCACTCTTCATTACTCTTGGAGTTCCTCATCCACTCCTCACTATTCTTGAAGGTTCTCATCCACTCCTCACTACGCTTGGAGTTCCTCATCCACTCCTCACTGCTCTTGGAGGTCCTCATCCACTCCTGACTACTCGTCCTCATCCACTCCTCACTACTCTTGGAGGTCCTCATCCACTCCTGACTACTCGTCCTCATCCACTCCTCACTGCTCTTGGAGGTCCTCATCCACTCCTGACTACTCTTGGAGGTCCTCATCCACTCCTCACTACTCTTGGAGGTCCTCATCCACTCCTCACTGCTCTTGGAGGTCCTCATCCACTCCTCACTGCTCTTGGAGGTCCTCATCCACTCCTGACTACTCGTCCTCATCCACTCCTCACTACTCTTGGAGGTCCTCATCCACTCCTCACTACTCTTGGAGGTCCTCATCCACTCCTCACTACTCTTCTTGAGGTTATCTTGAGATGATTCAGGGCTTAGCGTCCCCGCGGCCCGGTCCTCGTCCAGGGCTCCTTTTTGTTACACACCCCCAGGAAGTAGCCTGTAGCAGCTCACTAACTCCCAGGTACCTATTTACTGCTAGGTAACAGGGGCATCAGGGAAAAAGAAACATTTTACCCATTTGTCTCCGCCTCCAACAGTGATCGAACCCGGAACCTCAGGACTACGAATCCGAAGCGCTGTCCACCCAGCCTCCAGGCGCTCTCTTGGAGGTCTTCATCCAGTTCTCACTACTCTTGGGGGGTCTTCATCCACACCTCACTACTCTTGGAGGCCCCTCATTCACTCTTCATGGAGATCCACATTCACACCTCACTACTCTCGGAGGTCCTCAAAAGTAGTGAAAAAGGTGACGTAGAGCGACCACTCCAACGGGTGAGATGGGTGAGATGGATGATTGACGGATGAGTGATTATTCGCGCTGCTAGTCGTGAAGGCACACACGCGTGCGCCACCCGGGTGTGGTTGTCTGGGTACCCCCGCTCTCGATGCGAGGAGACATTATGTTACGGGATAACTAATTTATTTTAATAGACTAGCTCTTGGACCCAAGGTTACTAGTTTAAACGGTCGTATTTTGTAGGTAGTAAACTCCTATTCATTCCAGTAGATGTTTTTTTGATGTTCCAGTCCAGATAGATGTTGTTTTTGCCTCTAGTCACAGAACTATAGGTTTCACGATCAGGGATCAATGACCACAGAGGCCCAGTCCCTGGTGTGAGTGAACACCACCCCCACCAATGCTGGTCACTACCGAAAGTGGATTTGTGTGGTTAAGCTTCAACCCTGCCCCTTAGGCCTAACAATACATTCCATTCAAATTCCTGTCATTCATTTCTCGTTTTTTCTCTTTATTATCTTATTTCATCTTTCATTCATATAATAACTTCTTATGTAAAAGCCAACCAAGAAACTGGTAGAAGGATTACACACAGAAATCACAATAGTGTAATGCATCATAAGGACAAATCCACAAGGGCAGTGACGAGGATTCGAACCTACGTCCGAGAGTATCCCAGACGCTGCCTTAATCAACTGAGCTACGACAGTAGAGGGATTGCTTTGAATTATATCTTTATTCATCATTTGCAGTGTGATGAATAGTTTTTTGCATTGTCTTAGTTTTTTGCAGTGATTTAAATTTTGCAGTTACTTCGTTTTTGCACTGACATGGTTTTTGCAGAGTGAGTTATTATTTCTTACAGAGTAATTTAGTTTTTTTACAGAGAGACTTAGTTTTTTGCAGTCTATTTTTTTGCAGACTGACTTTGTTTTTGCAGAGTGAATTAGTGTTTGCAGAGTGACTTAATTTTTGCAGAGTGACTTGTTTTTGCAGAGTGCCATAGATTTTTGCAGAGGTTATCTTGAGATGATTTCGGGATTTTAGCATCCTCGCGGCCCGGTTATCAACCAGGCCTTCTTTTTGATAGATTGTGTATTAGTTTTTGTAGACCGACTTAGTTTTGCAGAGTGACTTAGTTCTTTGCAGGGCAACTTAGTTTTTTTGCAGTGTCTTAGTTTTTTGAAGAGTGTCTTAGTTTTTGCAGAGTTAGTTTTTTCAAGATTGATTTGCTTTTTTTTCAGAGTGTCGTAGTTTTTGCAGAACGACTTAGTTTATGTAGAATGACTTAGTTTTTGCACTGACTTAGCTTTTGCCCTAATTTAATTTTTGCAAAGTGACTTGGTGTACAGTCTCTGCAAAAAAGTATATCTGTCTGCAAAACTAAGTCACTCTGCATAAACTATGAAGATATGATACAATATAGGTAGTTCTAGCGAGATCGATATGGTCAAACACTAATATGAGTCGGACTATAAAATACAGTAAACAGTTCTCACACTAACACTTGTGTTCATGTAGGGTGACGTAGCATCACACTAATACTCGGTAATATAAGTAATACTCGGGGAATTTGGGAAAGTCTGGTCGAGGGTTGAGTACACACGGTATGTTCAGTACTTTATGTTTCACACCTCACTATTCCTATACTGCCGGAAATTTCCGACATCATTTATTAACTATTAACAAAATATGCAAGAAAAGAATTACTGGTTTATGTTACATAAATAATAAATATAATTTATATCCTTAGTTGACCGCTGCTAAGAAAATTTCGTATTTGGCGTCTCTATTAGAAAATGAGTGTTACATTGCCACGTCACCAAAATTAAATTCACCCACGAAAAATATTAATAATCTTTAAAACAACAGTTTGTGGACTATAATGAACATAAAAGTGTTTCCTAAGACTGAACTTAATTATCAATTATATATAATAAATTCCTCCTTCCAATTGTTGACATAATAGAGCCATTGAAGAGAAGCGTCTCTGGACGGGAAGGACGGAGGGAGTCATTATTAAATATTGAATACAAGCTGTGTTGACGTGTTGGTTCATCCTCCCGAGCATTGTGAAATTACAAGTTGCCCTTTGTGGAGTTGAACTGCCAGGATTAACACCACCAGTTTCTGGGAAATCATAATTATCCGTTCACTCTTTAATGTTCGAGCTCTTTCATTATTTATGTACTGAAGAGGTTATGACATAAGCCCAACAACACCCAAGGGTGAGCACATTTAATATCACATTTTGCACAAATGTTACATAAACTACATACACATATAATTTACTTTTATCATGGTAGATGTTACAGAGTAATTCGTTGGTGGGTGAATGAGACGAGTGCAAGTCACTATTGTGGAGTGTCATAGAGAGTGAACGATTCCAGTCCGGTCCTGTACACCCACGACACCATGACTGTCCGGTCCTGTACACCCACGACACCATGACTGTCCGGTCCTGTACACCCACGACACCATGACTGTCCGGTCCTGTACACCCACGACACCATGACTGTCCGGTCCTGTACACCCACGACACCATGACTGTCCGGTCCTGTACACCCACGACACCATGACTGTTCGGTCCTGTACACCCACGACACCATGACTGTTCGGTCCTGTACACTATGACTATGACCGTGTGACTGTCCGGTCCTGTACACTATGACTATGACCGTGTGACTGAAACGAGTCCGACTTGGCACCAACTAGGACTACTACTACTAATACAGCTAAGCTGTGCTACCTCGTTAAGGCAGCTCCTGCGACAGCACTAGAGCCAAGCATATTGTCGTTTGCCTTTCCATTGGAAAATTTCAGCATCATGGAGAGGAGGGGGACCTGCTGCATGGGTAACAGCTTCTCCATATTATCTACCCAGGCTATGTAGCTAGAGAGGACCCTCCTGCCTCGGCAACCAGAGCGTAACTCCATAGTCTCCTGAGATTACAGGATGCCTACAACTACTACTAAATAATCTAAATTTATTATAAATAATACTAACAATATGTTACAGTATCGACACCATCGTCGGAGTATGGAGTGGCGATTTCAGCGCCGTCTATGGGTCTACACTCCAAGTCACCAGTATTAGATGCTACGCAGACAACGCCATCTGTTGGTGGTGGCGTGGTATCAGTGAAAAGGCTTCGGTTTCCTGCCTCAGTTAGAAGAGGTGGTCGATGATGATGACCTCTGGCGGGTGGCATATCAAGTTCAACGCCATCTAGGTTGTGGCTACAAGTTACAATTTCAATTCCTTGGTGGAAGGGTGTTATCCCAAGGTCACCCAGTGTATTGTCCATCTAATTAATGACGTTTTATGTTCACAGAGGTGATGTAAGGAGGCGGTTGCACTGAGGAAGGCAGTTTACCTTGGACACTCCAAGAACTCTTGACTTGGTCCAGTGAGAAGACTAAGTGGCCGCTGTCGGTTAGAGCAGCGTGTTAGCTGCTGATGTATGCAGTGTTGTATGGACCGATGTACCCGGCATTGGCCAGTAAGACAGTGGTGAGTCTGTTGAGAAGTGCTGCTAGTGAGTGATTAGAGACTTCTGCCGGGGTGTTAGCTACCCCTGCATGTGATTGTTTGAGACCCCTGTCAGTGTGTAGCTTAAACCCTCTTCCAGTGTGTATCTGGAGAGCGGAGGTGGAGTATTGACACATCGTTACAATACAGTGTGTGTGGACTGGCCCATATTGAGGAAGGTGAACTCGCCGGTGTTTGCCATTAGGAGTGGATGACGTGTACCTGGAAAGTGGATTCACTGGGATTGATTATCACTGACGTTGAATTGTGTCCTGCGTGAAAGAGACTCTATTGTAAATAGGTGTAATATTACTTTAATTATATATATATATATATATATATATATATATATATATATATATATATTGTGACGATAATCTCCTTCAAGAGATTGAGCCTGCTCTTCCCTCCACAAATACGTCGTTACATCTATATAAAACTACTAAGGAAGAAATGTCCAACAACGACAACAACACCAGCAAGGTTTGCCAGAGCGCAAAACGTATGCAGCCAGGAACACCTGCTCAGACTCAAACCGCCAAACTACCCGTCTTGCTGCCGGCTCCTCGCTGATTGGTCGCCGGTCTGGCTGCAACTGCACTCGCCCACCATACTACTTGATGTCTGGGGCCGCCACGACCTCAGTCCTCAGAATATTCAGTGCTTTCCCACAGTTAACACTTCTCCCTGCTAGACGTAAGCTTTGGCGTACGTGTACTAAGAGAGGTGATAGCTTAAAGCCGATATTCCCGCACCTCTCATTTTTTGTATATTGCACTTCTTGTTATTTTGCTCACTTGTCTTAACGTAACTTTTCATTGTCATTTAATTATTCTTATTATTTTGATTGATTTTATTATACGAATTTGTTTGTCCATTTTATTCATGTTTTGTTTATTTAACGTAATTAAAATTTCATTGTTAAAAGTTACTTGTGTTTTGTGTGTCTTCTCCTTACCTTACCACAGACGAAGTTCCAGATTTTCTATTTTTTTTATACTATGTGACGAGGCCATACCCCTAGCTTTGAACAGCCGAACACCAACGCGTTACCGT